AGACTCAAAGTGGTCAAGTATGCTTGAGTACACTTTAGTTGTAGGGAAAGATGGCCAAGTGGTCCGACGAGCTCGAGTCAAGTCGTTTGACCTAGTGAACAAAATCATTAGAGTGCCTGGAAAAGACACCGGACGCACAGGTACGATGAACATGAGTGGAGGATTGGGGGGTATGTCTGGTGGAACCAACTCGATGGCTTTGGCAATGGGCATCGGATCGAAGTCTGATCAAAGCAAAATGAAAGCGACAGCCCCGAAAACGTCCAACAAACCTGCACCGCCAATAACAACGCTCCCTAACTGCGCTACAGCTAGACCCGGACACGCAAAGATGCCGCAAGCAGCCAAGGTTGCGAATTCAACGGGTAAAATCATAACCCCCGGGGGCAAGAGCAATTCCGGACCAACCCGTTCGGGAACCGGTTTGCCTAAGGAGACCAGTGTTATCACTAAGATCCCCATTATCAGGCCGTCAGCTCCAGCTAAGCGTGAAACGAGCCCGTCGAGTAGTACGAAGCCCAGCAGTGCCACATTGGTGCTGGCACCAGCACCGTCGAGCAGATTAGGAACAATAGACAACGGCGCTCTCAGACCGCAGAAAGCCTCTGGAATACCAGGAACCCCCAAACGCTAGCAAGCATCAGTGATCCTTACAAATAACCTTATCAAGTCTTCATCTAGCCACTTGAGTCTCTCGTTCTAGTTCAAATTAACCCGAGAAACTTAGCTTGCTCAACAGACACAGTATTTATTCACGCATTAAGCTGTCCTAGCAATGTTTTCACGGTATTTGTCCATGAACTTGGCATGGAACTTGGCCGTCTTCTCGATCACCTCGTCCACGGCCTCTTCGGGCGGCAGAATTGTAGATCGGAAATGCCACGTGCCTGCTTTCTGGTCGAAGCCCGAGCCAGGCACAACTACAATTCCCGTCTCGTCCAGCATCTGCATGCAGTAGAACGCGCCAGGCGCCATACCCGCTTCCTTAGCGGCTTCAACAGCCTTAGCTGGAAGCGAAATACTCGGGAATGTGTACAACGCGCCTTCGGTCTCGTTGCACGTGATACCCTCGAGATTGTTAAAAGCCTTCACGAGCTTAATTGCACGGCGTTTTAGTGAGTGAAGCGTACCATCACGCTGCTCGATGTAGCGTTGGTACGACGCATCACCAGGTTGCGGTGGGTTGGTCATCATACCCACCATTAACTGGCCTTCGATGTTCGAGCACAAATTCACCGACATGAGCTTGTAGAACTGGTCCTTGGCACCCTCGTCAATGTTTACCAGCTCCATGTAGCCACCACGACGACCACATTCACCCGTGAAACCCTTGGACGTCGAGTGGAACGAGATAAGCTCCACATCGTCGTATTCCTTGCCCATATCACGCAGCACCTTCTTGAACGAAAAGAACTTCTTGCCTTCAGCGTATACATTCTCCTGGTAAACTTCGTCGGCCAGGATGAGGATGTTTTCCTCTTTGCAGAACTTGATGATCTCTTTAATGTTCTTTTCCGATAGACACTGGCCCGTCGGATTGCCAGGGTTAATCACAGCCATCGCACGCACTGTCTTGCCAGCATCAAGAGCTTCCTTCACAGCGCGCGCCAACTCGTTGACATCAAGACCCCAGGCGTTGGACTCATCCAGGTAGTAACCAACTAGAGTGCCGTTATTGATGGCGATGGCCGCCGAGTACAGCGGGTACTGCGGGATGGGGGCCATGATGGCGTCGTTCTCGTCACGGATGAGAGCCAGCAGAGAGTTCTGTACGGCCGGACTGGCGCCGTCTGTGAGGTAAATGTCTTCCGGGTCGGCCGGGTGGCCGTCACGACGCTGTAAGAAGCGTGCGACTTCCTCACGTACAACAGCCGAGCCTTTGCTGTGGCCATAAGCGCCAGTGCCGCCCGGGATGTTGTCAATGTAGAATTTGGCGCGAGCAATGGCGTCCGGCTGGAATAGTTTCTGTGCCTCTGGCTGGTCCACAAGACCTGGCACATTGACGAGCGCCAGCACTTGGCGGTGGAACTCGATGGGTTCCTGATTAAGCACCTGCGGGTTGCCAATGTTGCAAGGGATTATCTTGTCGAAGGGCAGCGATTTGTCGCCGTTCGCAAGGCGGTTCTCGTACTCGTTGGAGCGCAATACGAGCGCACCACGAACAGCGTACTCGGCCTTGACGACCTTGGGGTTGAACGTGGCCGTTGTGAGCACTTTGGCGCCGCTGTCGGGCATGACTAAGTAGAGATGCTTGGAGAATAACTTTGTGTAGTCGCGAGCACGCAAATTCAGGAATGACTTCGGCATTCGGCCAATCGTGCTTACACATGTTGAAGTTGTTACAATGAAGGGTTTTAATTAAATAGATTATCAAATTAAATTTTTAGCCAGTAGCAGCTCTCGTTTCCCGCGCGGTTATGTCACAAATTGTGACAGAAGCAGAAACAAGTTGAAGACGACTCCGCGATCATCCAGTATGCTGCGTGACATTATCGCTGCGACCGGCAGAAGGAGTTGGGGGCGGCAACTCCATCTCGACTGGTCTCATGAGGGCGGGTTATGCACACAAATGACGCAGATTCTGTATCGTTCCGGCGTCTTCGACGCGACAAGGCCGCCTGTCAGGCGTGCGTTGTGCAGTGTTTTGTGGAGATTCTATGCGCTGAACTTCATTCGCGTTGCGTGCCCATGCACTTGAAATACTATGTCCAAGGGGATAGCTGTACCCGATTCGGGTCCCGAACCACTCGTTGCATACATCCAGATTCGTCTACAGTGCGGCTCGCTAGATAGATTCTACGCTCGACTACGTACACGTACGTAGTAGGACTCTGCACGCAGCTACAAGGCTCACAAACACTTCCTAGTTTTATCTGCATTGGGCTCACGGTGGACCTATGCGATCACTTCACTTGGTGACCTGTATCTGCTTACTGTCCTGTACCCACATTCGCCTGTGTGGACTGCTTATCTAAAACGCTTCATGGAGATGTGGATGAGTGACTTGAGTCCACGCAGCCAGTCCTTGTGTTGCGCCCAATCTGAGGCCGTAAGAGCCACGTAGATGGTCTGTGCGCTGCCAAAATCGCGCTGTCCGAAGCACGCCACCATCTCATGCAGTCGGGACACAACGTCGGGCGACAAAGCGCCGATGTTGAGCTTGGTTAACATGATCTCCTTGCCCTTCTGAATCTCCTGCAGTTGCTTCTGTTCCATCTGCACAAACAACAAAATACCTAATTAGGTACATGCCTTCTTAACAGTGGCAATGATGTTCACCGTACCATAGTGAGAGGGAGGCCCTGAAGTTGACTCACGAGGTCGTTGAACGCGTTTACAATAGGGAGATCCTGTGGACCGACGTTCTCTGTGCTACCGGGCACAACATCCGGAGGGAACTCGCCAACCTTCGGGGCAGCGCTTGCAACGGGCGAGAGAGAGGCTGTGGTAGCATTCCCATATTTCAGAGTCAGTTCCTTGTTGCCCACACTGCTGACGAACCCATCGCGTTGGTGGGAGCTCATATCAACAGAAGGCTTGGCAATGCGCGATGACCCCATCGCAGCAGCAAGTGGATTTATCCCCGTACCTTGAGGAATGGATGGAGAAGCTGGGGCAGGTGGCGCGCCGAAGCCTGTTCCGGGACGAGGAGCACCACCGTACGCCGGAGAAGGTCCGGACACGTGAGGTGCGCCTGTAGACGGAGGACCTGAGTACATCTGCTGACGGCTACCTGACGACGACGGGGGGCCTGACGGGAAACCTGGTTGGGGCAGATGCTGGCCTGGGAAGCCTGGCTGCTGCGGACGGGTGTAACCAGGCTGCTGTGGGGGTGGCTGGTGCTGCTGCGCTTGGCCAGGGAACGCTGGAGAAGCTGTGGATTGGCCCGGGAATGGCGTCGGCGCCGCGTTTCCTGGGTATGGCGACGGCGTTGACTGACCTGGGTATGCGGGCTGCTGCTGGTTCGGGTATCCTGCAGGCTGCTGGTTGGGGTATCCACCGGGCTGCTGCGCTTGCGGAGGCAGACCATGCGTGGCCGGGTATGCTGGTTGCTGAGGTGCCGACTGGTAGCCACCAGGACGGCCAGGGTAAGCTGGCGTCGGAGCCGGTGTATGTTGTTTCGGTTGATAACCCGCAGCTTGGCCACCATAGGCGCCAGGCGTAGGCATCGGAGCGGCGGCAGGAGTTGGCGTTGGTGCAGCAGGAGCACCATACTGGTTCCTTCCAGCTCCATATGCGGGTTTGTTACCGTAGCCTCTCTGCTGCTGAGCAGCCTGACGTTGTTGCTGTTGCTGCTGAATCTGTGCCTGCGTCTGAACCTGAACCACATCGAACGGGAACGGAGGTGGCTGGTAGCCCTGTGTGGGGTACGCGTTGTAAATGCGGTCCTTCAAAATCGCGCAACTCAGATCCGGGAAGCGTGCGTACTTGGCAGCAATATCCAGGCGTCCTTCCGCAGCCATCTAACAAGTAAAAACGATAACAAAATAACGTAAGCTTACGACCACCGAAATGTCCTTCACCTCTTGCTACGTACCAGAGAAGCATACTCAGCGAAA